ATCAACCTCATACCAAGGATGATAACTAATGATATTCTTACATTTGTGGAACACGATCATGTCTACTGATATTAACCAGGGACTGCAAAGACAAACCATAAAAGTAATTTGGTATGAAATATCCACATGCTAACAGTATAGATAGTTCTTGAATCACTTTACTTGGTACATCTCACAGAGAACATGCAAAATGATTTCTTATTATATAATCTATTAAGCAAGCAACATTGACCAAATTACAGTACACAATCCCACTCCTACAATGTTAACTTATAGCATATATTTTTCATGTTACTACAGAAAGTAACAAATTTTGAACTACAAACTCACTCTGTGCATTCATTTAGAGCAGTAAGGAGTTTTGAAAGTGTGTGGCTCATGATCTCAAATATGGGCCTGCTACTGGTCTCTTGAATCTCTGCAAGTGCTGCCACAGCATTAGCTACAACCATTGGATTATTATCAGATATCAAATCCTTGAGAGCTTCCAGAAACCCCCTATCCTCAACTAGCTCAGCATTTATGTCATAAAGCTTAGCAACACATATAGCAGCTGTCTTGCGAACATAAGGATCATCATCCTGACAAAAAATGAAATTAAAGAATTGGTGCTGAGTTAAGAAATTCCACGACTCATTACATGAGAACATTCTAGAAATATAAATAGCAAATGCAGCTGAACTTCATTTGCAACATTGCTGCAAAGGAGAAAGTTTGAGCAAAACACTAAAAGTCTAAAACTAGTAAAAGGTTCCACTAGCCAAACTTTTGGAAACAAGGGTAAATATCAACCTTGAGACACCTCTGCAGTGGATCACACAGATATTCTGTGATTTTGTCAACACGAATGCATCCCATTGTCCGTACAGCTAAAGATCGAATCAGCGGATTTGGGTCCTGAGAATCCTGCAAAATGTCCATATCATAAAAATGTTATAGAAGCGAATTTTCAGCTATGTAAAAAAAATTACAAAATATTCAAAGAAAAAACAATGAAGATATAACCTCACTGCTACATGTCCTTTGGTAACATCACAATCTGTCTGTAAATAAATATTTCAATCCAAAGCCTCTACAATTTCTATTCAGCATCCTATCATATACTTTCTAATAAGGAGCAGATAGGCATAACTTAAATATCAAAAAAATAATAATAATGTATTAGTAGTGCTGAAATATTTAAGCACTAATTTTTTAAGTTGATAAATTAGCTAATTAAAGATGATAATTTAAAAATTACTTTCCACTAAATGTGTTCAGCATTCACTAATAACTCATGTCTCTTTAAGTGATTACTCATTAAGTGATAACTAACAATTGTTAAACACATTTAATTTCTCAACCACTGAATGTGTTGAATTTTAAGTACTTAATTACAGTAGCAAACAGGCCTTAAGTAAACAAATATAAAATGAGAGTTTTCATTTTTTTTTTTTTGTACTTCTCAATTGACCACTTATTGACCAAGTACAAACAACTTCATACTTTCTGGCAGAATTTGGGTTAGACTTTGGGCAATGATAAGCTGATTCACTTCTGGAAAAGACAGGGTCCACCTAATGATTTAAATTACAGAGTACAACTATGCTTTTACAGTTTGCTGATAAAAAATTGATACTAAGGCATGAGACCTGGTAATTCTTCTTTGCCAATTGGAAAGGAATTGTTATTTTACTGTATGAGGCAACTAAGGCAAAGAGCAAATCATGACAAATTTCACATGTATTGGAGACAAGCCAATCACAACAGGATGATAATCGACAATAAATGTATACAAAAAGATGTCGAATGTAAACTGTCACAGTTTAGGGTGTAGGGAGATCCCCTGACTTTGTGATGGAAATTATAGTTTATCAACAAAATATATCAATTTTTCATGGATCATTTGGCATGGCCTTTGTACATAGGTTTAAGTGATGTTTAAGTTTAACATACAAAGAGAGATGAATGCAGAAGCGGTGATACATGTTAATGGTTTTGGAGGAGGAAACTCTTGCCAAATATTCACATTGAAAAGTTTAAGGTTAACAATGAGTTTGGGTGCAATATTTGAGGTAAAAATCATTTAGCACTTATTTCATCACCTTATGAAATGAATGATGATATTGAAATGCTTTCACAATATCTACTCAACAAAGAAAATTCATAGCACAGCTGCAAATTTCATTCCAGAAGATCATAACAGTAATGAAATGTAAAGGACCAAGTTTTACCAAAGTTCTTACCTTGACAAATGTGTTTACTGCAAGTATCGCTAGGTCAGGTTGGCTTTTAGCATAATTTATGAGATATAAATAAACAAGCTTTTTGAGTTCCAAATTCTCTGTTTGCATGCAATTCACAACATCTGTGAATAGTGATGAAACATCTTTCCCAACAGTCATGGCAGCAATCACCTTTTTGACAGCATCTTTTCTCTTGTCCTGCATGAGAAAAACAGAGAAGGTATGCTATTGAAAGGCTGTTCTGAATTATCATACTAACATGTAGCTACCTAAAATTATAAGACTATTCAATCAATAGTCTTGTGAACATTATTCTAACACTTATCTGCATAACAAGTATCCAAATTCATATGCTTATTAAGTTCCGCAACAAAGCATCATGAAAATGGCTCCTCTACCAGTGGGATATGATATGAAGCACGGGTACAGGTACGAGTATTGGTACTGGTACAATATAAGTACATCAATACGCCAAATTTTCAAAAAAGTATGATATAGGTACGGCTTCATACATTCATAAAAAAAATATTTATTTTTAATTTGGAGTAATACAAAAATTAGTAAAATTGTTTAGTTGGTTAAGATCTAACCTAAAATTTACATTTAATGCCAAAAATATAGTAAACTAAATGTCATTATATTAAACAACTTACAAACAAAAGCTTAATTTTAAAATGATGTTAAGCATAACAAAGAGTCCAATGAAACTAGTTTCATCTCCGTACAAAAGAAAATACTATTCTGGCTGAGTATGGCTTGGGTGTATTCTACTAAGTACTTAGTGTATGGTAAAATTTAGAAGAAAAAATTTGGGTGTGTGTTTCATTATTTCATACACCTGGTATGTATGCAAAAGTCTCATACAAAGTACCAGTACCCAATAAGTACCGGAACGGGTACTACATGTTTGTCTAAGTACTCATGCTTCATAAAGCAACAATGATAGTAAAACTAGGTCCACACTTGGGTGGAAAAAGTACTAAAAATCAAATGCTGAACTTTTTATGCTAAAAATTTGTTTGTTAAAAAAATAAGTACTAAACTAATATAAGTTGTTTAATATATAAAATATGAAATTTGAAATTTATTATTTTCAAATTTTCTTTTCCAATTTTTATATTGTGGTAGTGGAGGTGGAGAGATAGTGATTGTAGTGATGGTGGAGTGTAGTGGAGGTAGAGGCGTAGTTGAAGTGGGGTGGGGGTGGGGGTCTGTAGTGAATAGTGATGGTGGTAGAATGATGGTAGTGGTTATGACAACAGTGGCAATGGTGTTGGAAGTGGAGGGTTGTGATAGTGGTGGCAGTAGTGGAGAGGTAGGGGTGGCAGCAACATCTGTGGTGGTGTGTGATGGTGGTATTGAAATGATAATAGTGCCTATGGGGACAATGGCAATAGTGGAGGTGGTGGTAGTGAAAAGTAATGGCAGTGGAGGTGGTAGTCAAAGCAATGGTGGTGGAAATGGGGGGTGGGGGTGTAGTAATGGTGGTGATGGCAGCATTGGTGAGGTCATAACGGTACACGTCAACGCTTATGCATAAGCAATTAAAATTCAGTCAGCAATCTGTATCATTTAAAAATTTAAGTAACTCTTAAAATGTAGATAATCCTTATGTATAAGCAAAAATAGCACCCCTTGACTTTCAGATAATCCTTATAGATTGCCAAGGGGTGACTGAAAGTAAAAATATAGAGCTATCTATAAGGATTATCTTAAAGTAAAAATTTCAGTCAAGGGGGGCATGGCACCCCTTGACTTTCAGATAATCCTTACAGATAGCTCTATATTTTCATGCAAAAATAATCTACTCTCTTTGTACTAGCACCCCTCAATTTTAGTTGGTTGTGATCAAATATAGTTGACTATAGTGAATGAAAAATAAGAATAGACCCATTCAAAAAATTACTAGTTATTCAATTTTTTGGGGATTATTTTCTGTGGTTATTTAATTTTGTTAGTGCCGATATCTTAAAAGGCGAGCCAAGGTGTGTGCTAAGGCACGAGCCGAGGAGAGGCGCCTCAATAGTCACAGTCGTGGGTGAGGCACTAAAGCGATCGTTTTCTGTGAGGCACAAGGCGATCGTTTGGTGGCCTTTATTATGCCAAAAAGGTTTCCATTTAGAGACGAAAATTTTGGTCCCAAAATAATAATAATTCATCACTAAATGTCCAGTTTCCACCCTAGATACAATAATGACAGTTTTGACGACTAAGATATTTCGTCACTAAAAAGTAATTTCACGCCTAAATTTTTTTCTCTAAAACATTAATTTGTTTTAGTGAAGCATTGTGGGGTTTTTTTTTGTCTTTCAAAATTTGAAAGGATATGATGGAATTGAATTGACATTATTAAAATTTTGACTAGTTTACCTTATAACCATTTATTATTTGCTAAAATTGTCAATTATATGTCAAAATTGATATGTTATTTTTATTGATTATTTGCTAAATTAATACTTTTTGAAATAATTTATAGAAATTGAGTGTTGTTATTACCAAATTAATGAGAAATTATGTCGTATTTATTAAATTATTGTGATGAAATTAATATAGAAACCCGACCCATATTCGACCCGCTAATTGGAATGGAATGGAGTAGAGGGAATGTACGAGGGGTATCAACTTGCCATCCCTTCTAATGAAATTCTGATTCCATCCCTAGTGTTGAATTGGGTTATCAAACACGACCTTTTACTTGCCAAATTATAATAGTGTTCAGTGTCTAAAAAAAAATTAAAATTTAAACCCACGTATCATAAACAGCATCATTAATCCCAACACACCCAGAATTTTAAAAAAAAAAAAAACAAAATTATATAAATGAGGATCAACAATTTTTGTGGGATACTGGGAAAAGTGTGAGAAAACCAAATAAACAACATTACAAACCACGTTAAAGTGATCTCAAGTTCTGAGACACAACGAAAGAAAATTAACAATAAAACCTTATTGTTCAAAATGGGAGGGGGTTTGCAATCCAAGCCTAATCAGGTTAAATCTCGACCAACTGACATGAATTCGGAAAATCCAATACATGAGACAAGCAAATTCAATGAAAGCTCACTAAGATCTGAACGATAAACCAAATAAAAATAAATAAATAAATACAGTAGATCTGCTAATGAGTTTTGTGAATCGATAGTAAAAACGCAACACCAGTGAAATCAAGAGCGCAATTGGATCAGATCAACGACGAAGTAAGAAAGATGGTTCGAATTCAGCTAGAAAATACCACATCGATGTATGTACATGTCTCGTATGAATACATATATGAATAGATATAGAGAGACCTTGTACTGAGAATTGAGCTCCTCTTTGAGCTCAGGGATTTCGCCCTTCTTGGTGGTGGAGAAGTACTTGGAGTCGTGTCCGCTCATCTCTGTCTATCTCTCTCCTTGATCGACTAAGGAACAACGGAGAGAATCAACGATGAAAATGAAAATGGCAATGGCAATGGCAATGCAATGCTATATGAGAATTGTGGATCGAACTGGTGGTTTTGTAGACCGGTTCCGCTTGACAAATAATAAAAAGAACAGCTTGCTTGAAAAACACTTTTTTAAAATTTTTTTTTTTTTAATTTTTTGTGTTTTTTTGTTTTTATTGAATTTTTTTAATATTTTAAACAATTTTTTTTTATTTTTTAGATATATCTAACATAAATATACTTAAAAAGTAAAAAATTGTGAAAAAAACCTTTTAAAAATTCACTAAATATCAAAAATATAAAAAAAAAAAATGAGAATTCAGTACATTTTTTATATTTTTATGTATTTATTAAAATTTTAAAATATTTTTTCACAAATTTTTTACTTTTTAGATGCATCTAAGTGCATCTAAAAAGTAAAAAAAAATTAAAATTTTAAAAATATTCACTAAAAACAAAAAAAAAACACGAAAACCAAAAAATTGAGTTTTCAAAAAACTTAATTCAAAAAACTTAAACCAAGCACACTAATGTTTCATTCAAATAAATGAAATTTATAATTTTTTATTATTTATGTGACTTATTTCAATTATATATTTTTTTGAATTTTTTCTTTTTAAAGATTCTTGGTATTAAAATTTTATAAGGAAAGTGATATATAATATTTTTATAGTAATTGAGATCTCTCAACATTTTTTCAGAGAAATTTCAAACTAGAGAAATTCAAGACACAATTTAGTTTGAAATTTCTTTGATTTTTCTGTGTTAAAATTTCTCAATTTCTCTGAGTTGAAATTTCTTTGATTTGTTCAATTTTTCTGATTTTCTTTGTGTTTTGAAATTTTTTTGAGTTAAAATTTCTTTGGTTTGCTTAGGAATTTCTATATTTTGATCAATTTTCTTTGATTTACTCATAATTTTCTCTATATTTTGATCAAATCAAATAAAATTGAATTACAAAATTGAACAGAGATGAACTCATAAAGAAATCATATTCATATATATCAGTTAATACACACAACAATTGAGCAAAACCCAGCAAAATACAAAAATAATTTCAAATTTTAAAAATTAAAGCCCTAATGTCACGAATCCGGATCCTCGGCCACCCTCCCCTGTCGCCCTCCAAAACGACATCGTTTTGGAGGTTTTTTTTTCTTTTTCTTTTTATTTTCTTCTTCTTCTTTCTTTCTTTCTTTCTTTCATTTCTCTTTTTTTGTTAATGGGTTTCGGTTGTTGAGGCCGGTAGCGCCGACCAGGCATCGCAGACGAGTTTGAAGGCTTCGTCGGCGTAGGGAAGGTGATTTCGCTGAGGGTTGAGGAGGATCGGCGATGAGGAGCTTCTGCTGCTGCTGATGATGAAGAAGAGGACCAGCGAGGAGCTTCTCGGCGATGAGGAGCCACCGTTCCACCTCCTCTCCGCTGCTGCTTCTACTGCTGCTGACGATGAGGAGAACCGGCGAGGAGCTTCTCGGCGATGAGGAGCCACTCCGCCTCCTCTCTGCTGCTGCTGATGCCGCTGTAAGGGTCCATTTCTGTCACTCTCTCTCTCTACTTTCTCTCTCTAAATTTGGCAAGAAAAGAAAAAAAAACCTCCAAAACGACGTCATTTTGGAGGGCTACAGGGGTGTGCCGCAAGAAAGGGGCACCGAGGATCTGGATTCCTAATATCACAATCATGCTGGCAATCAGCAATCATAAACTCTATCCTATTTGGCTTGGCTCTGTTTGGCTTCACGCTTTTGATGGTTTCACGTGAATTGTGTTGTTGCATTCAAGTATCTCTACAAGCTCATCCAAACATCATCTGAAAGAGAGCATAGTTCTTCAACCAAACCACAGTTGAAAACCTGGCTCGATTAAAAGATAGGAGAGAGTGTGTATGATATATAGGTGTGGATGAGAGACTTTATATTACAAAAAAAATACTATGGACCTTTTTCATTATTAAAAGTTAAAGAGAGATGTTAGACTAATTTCTCTATTTTTATGAGGCACATTTTAAATAAAATTTTATTAATTCATATTAGATACTTGGATACATGAGGAACTAAAAAAATTATAAACTTTATTAATCTATATAATATTTTTTATTGTTACAAAAGATAACTAGGGGTGTAATTTTGGCCCGTGGCCTGCGAGCGGCCCAAGATGGGCCCGACCCGTTTAGGCCCAAGCCCAAGCCCAATCCGGGCCCTTGGACCAGGACTTGTGCTATTGTTTTGAAGTTTGGCCCGCTTGAGCCGCTCAAGGCTCGCCCAAAAGCCAAGCCCACCTGATGCCCGATGTTATTTTTAATGGAAAATAATAAAATTTTGGTGGAAAAAATTTTTTAAAAAATTAAAAAATTGTTTAGGCCCCCCCAAAGCCCGAGCCTAGGCCCAAGCCCAGGGGCTCGGCCCACTAGCCCGTCCAAAGCTCGAATACCCCTGAGCCTAGGCTTAGGCATGGGCCTAGTTTTCTGGCTCATAGGTCGCGCCGGGCCGATTTTTTGGCGGGAGCCCACAAGGCCCAGATGGATCGGGCCGGGCCAAGCCAAAATTACACCCCTAAAGATAACACACTATCAAGAAGATAGCACAACATTAAAAAATGAATTTGTAATTTTTGTATTGTATAAATAAATTGGGGATACATTTATTTTTTTGACCGTCCTTTTTTGCCTTTTTTTTTTCCCTTTTTTTTGCTCTGTACACTTATTATTTAAAAGTTTGCCCCACACCCATTTGTCTTTTCTCCTCCATCACTAATACACTTATCACCAACCTCCACAACCCTACTACCATTCTTTCACTATTAGTTGTCATATCCTCTATCATTGACTGCCTCTAACTTTTATTCTTTTATCTTCCCACCACCTGCAACATTTCTTCAATTCATTCATTTTTTGACCCCTTCCTCTACTCCATTCTCTCACTATACTTTTCATGTCCTGCTCAATGTCCCCACCGCAACTCTTTCCTTTCCAAACACACCTAGTCCTTCTCTTTTATACCCAAATGCCTTCATCTGAGCTCCTCATTTCCATCCACTTTGCAACTCAACCTTTTTTGTCTCGCATCTCCTACTACTTCATTTCCTACATTTGCAATTGCTAACACATCTTTTTAAACCATTACTTGTCACCTCTCATTCATAATTATTGCACGCCTTTACGCCTGACACCCTAAATATGAAAAAAACAGTAAATGGAATGTGTGAAGTAGATATGGTATATGTGTTGGGAAAAAAATATTTAAATTTTAAGTAAGTGTAGGAAAAAGATGAGAGGTCAAATAGAAGCACCTAAGAAGCCATGTAGTTACTTATGTTTTTATTTTCTTATTTGGATAGCATTTTGCGCCCATATGTTTGAATTTGAGGATAAAGAGCTAGCTTATTATACGGGATCTGACGTATCTAGCAGAGCAAAACAACATCTTATTGTTTTTGGTGGCATCCTTCTGCATTGGCGACGAGTGGAGTGTCGTAATCCCATTCATCATTTTTTATTTACATAAGCCAAAGCCCTCGGGTACAAATGCAAGGAGAATGTACAGTTGATATAACATCTCGTAGAACATGATTTGATTTTGCAAGCAGTTTAGTACAAACAGAGGAGTTTCAAATAAAAAGTTGGAACTCATTGATGAAAAAGGAAAGAAAAACAAAGCAATGCCAAGAGTTCCGTCAATCTGATGTTCATCAACAAACGAAGCTCTCTCTTTATCATCTCGTGTCATATGCAACAAAGGATGTGTCTTTTTTCCTTCTCGCGAAGATCATTTTCCTTTCAAGGTAAAACGGCGCATAAAAAAGGGCTAGCGCGTCGAAAGTTTGGTTCCTTCGCGAGAGCTTTCTTTGATCCTTCTACGTTAAGCCCTCCATTGAGGTTATCTCGGTAAACCCGACCGTCTTACTAATTCTGTTCCCCCAAACAAGAAGCAATTTCTTTCACTAAATAGGTTACATTTGTAGCAGTCAAAGAATTGCTCTATCCCTGCAGTCACTCTCAAGAGTACGACCAAAGGCCCATCTTCTTACTTAACGAGTTTGTGTCGCATAATGTGACCTTCTTCATATGCAAAAGGAGAAATGAATCTTTTTCTTTTTTCTTTTTTTTTTAACAATGGAATCATGACAATTCTGTATGTGTCTAGTTGCACTTCTTGCTATTTTGCAAGAATGCCTTTAGTAGACGATTCGATTGGCCTAAACATTGGTTATAAATTCTTATTTTTATATTTTTTTAGAATCTTATATTCATCATGATTCATGGATCTTGTTTTTATAGATCTTGATGAGACTATTAAAAAAGGGGTAAATTACTAATAGATCCTAATAATTAAATTTAATTCTCATTAAGTCCTATTGAAAATAATTCCTAATAAAATCATTATTAAAAATAATTTTTTTGATGATTATTTGTATATATTGCAAAAACTTAATAATTAGTGCCTTTTTTATCACAATTTTTATAAATTTTCATTAAAACTTACAATTAGTAACGTTTTTTGTGACGAATTTTTCAAATTGTCGCTGAAAGTTACAAATTCGTGACTTTTTTGTGACAATTTTTTTAAATTGTTGCTAAACTTATAATTAGTGACATTTTTGCGACAAAATTTTCAAATTGTTGTTGAAAATTAACAATTGGTGAAATTTTTAATAGTGTCTGACGAAAAACATTATTAATTCTAACAGGACCTATTAGACAATAAGTCTACCTAATAAGACATACACGTAAGTTCCCCTTTAAAAATAACAAATTTTATGAAAACATAAAAATTTAGTGAGATTTTTAAAAAATAATCTGGATAAAAGCATACTTTTCAAGCAACCTTTTTGCCTGTTTTTAAAGTTTTGAAATTTTACTATTTTAAGGCATCATAAGATTTATTTTACATTTTTGTATTTATAAAATTTGATATGTTTATAGCTATTTATCTAATATATTAAACAATCTCCATGATGAGTGTTAAACATAGTAACTATATATTCTGTCTATCATACATACTATATTATATTCATTACCATACATAGGATTACCATACTTAGGTTTCTATCTCCTATATAAAGGAGTCTTGTATACATTGTTACATTATTATTCAACATAATATTAAACATACACATAATATAATATTCTCTTGGATATTCTAACATGGTATCAGAGGTATATGTTAAGCTCTTGGTGTTATTCGCCTTACCAGCAAGCGACAACCTTGCATTGGCTGCCTGTTGGACGTCAATCTATTCTGCTGTTATATTTTTCTTTCAATATCGTTTCATGGTGATCTCTTCCTCTATCCGTTGGTTTATTTCTACCTCAAATATCTCTATTATATTTCTTTTCTTTTTACTCACAATCCATTTTTTGTGTACTTCTACTCAACTCTGTCTTTCCTTCTGCTTCAACTTCAAATAAGTTTCTATCTTCAAACCTATTTGAGTTTGGCGAGGAGTATTATACCAATATCATGGTGATATAGCATGCGAATCATCCAAGTTGCCCCTTGGCGCACAACCCAAGCTACTCTCTCTAGCGCACAACTCAAGCCGCCTTCTGGCGCACTTTCTCATAAGTTGCCCCCTGGCATATAATGTTATCTGTTGCCATTATCATTCAGCAGCACGTCATAAGTTACATGTGTACCACGTTTACTGGTTCAACATCCAGTTCTTCTTCAACGGTCCAGCATGATCTTAAACTATCCCAGCATTAGTTCCGGTCAGTTTCTACAATGATCCGACACGACCTTAAACTCTCCCAATATTAGCTTCGGTCTCTGATTTATCTCAAGCGCCTCTATGTTCCTATATGAATTTTGCAATCTATTTGTCTCGGATCTATCCATACTTTATTTTATTTTATTTTTAGGTTTATTTCATATTTTAGTTTCTCTTTCCAAACTCAAGTTGGTATCCTTACTTGAATTTGAGGGGGTGTTAAATATAGTAACTATATATTTTGTCTATCATACCTACCATATTACATTCATTACTATATTTAGAATTATCGTACTTAGGTTTTTCTCTTCCTATATAAAGGAGTTTTGTATACATTGTTATATTATTATTTAATATAATATTAAACATACACATAATATAATATTTTCTTAGAAATTTTAACAATGAGTATCAAATTATGAAGCACAAAATTTCAATAAAGAAATTATACCATATATTAATTTTATTTCAATCTTTAAACGAATTCAATTTTACACTTATCCGTATATATTATACATATACATTTATTTATTTTTGAAGACCTAGACAATATTAATAAGGTAAACGATTTGGCCATGTGTTTTCTTGGGTTTTTTTTTTTTTTTTTTTTTAAAAAATACAATTATGATGATCAAAAATAATTTGAGAATTAACTGATTCTCTTTGGGTTTGGATTTGGATCCTCTTCAACAATGAGTCCGAATCTTCGGCCGCACTATCCTGCGGTAGGAGTGTAAAAATAAACCATGGCCCGTGGGCGGCCCGAAGCACACCCGCGGCTCAGGGTGGGCCCGGGCCTAAGTCCAGCCTGAGGCCTTGGGCCTGGGCCATCACTTTGAAGCCCGGCACGACCCGTGGATGCAGTGTTATTTTTAATGAAAAATAATAAAATTTTGATAAAAAAAATATAAAAAATATAAAAAAATTGTTTAGGCCCGCCCAAGCCTGTCTCAAGCCCAAATACCCCTAGGCTTGGGCCTAGTTTTCTGGCCCCTGGACTGGCTCAGCCCGGCCTGATTTTTGGCAAGAGCCCACAAGGCCCGACATCGGCCAGGCCGAGCCAAATTATACCCCTACCCTGCGGCCCTCCCTACCGCCCTCCAAAATGACGTCGTTTTGGATATATATATATATATTTTTTTTCGTTTCTTATTTTGCTTCCCCTTTTGTTTTTGAACCCTAGCCTCTAAGACAGAGAGGCACGATCCGAACGAGAGAGAGAGACGACGAAATGAAGAGGCAACGGAGGCAAGGCAAGACGATGAGAGGCGGCGGTGAGGCGGCGAACGGAGAGGCAACGGAGGCAAGGCAAATTGGGATGTTTTGTAGTTGTACAATGATATTTAGCTCCGTTGTGTTGTACTTCTTTGTAAAAATTTGGTTTTTTGTGTTCATTTTTATCTTCTGGCTTGTGAGGGCTAATTGTGCTTTGCCATTTTTATTCAAAATTTTAGATCACAATACAAATAGGTGTTGTGATACATATTTGGCATTATTAGAACTGAGATTACATGTTCTTGGCTTTTTGAATTTTCAAATTTAGAAATTGTAAGCATTGTGGCTCAACTGATCAAGCATTAATTATGGATTATTGGTAACAAAAAATACATTAATTCATTTTAAGAAAAATACATTGAAGTAGAATTGGCTTCATTAATTTTGAGAATTTACAGCCAGTCAATGGTACAATCTGGTCCATTTTAATTTTGGACAAGTATGACAGTGTTTAATTTTCTACTTCTGTGTTTCTAATTTAATAAAGTACCTCTATGCATCCAATTATCAACATTTACCTCTGTGCATCCAATTATCATTCAGACAAAAATAAAGATACGATAGGTAGTTCAAATCTAAACAAGCAAACTATAAGATAGGAGAAAATAAACTTTTTCCATTTCTCTACTTGTCTAGGCATAAGCTAAAAGGGGCTCTAATGCAAAAATTATCTAAAATGAAATAAACATCAATAACTAGAACCATGGTGAATGTTTAAATATATTGGCTACTTCTTTACATGGATATATATATGTATATTAAGTTATTGGCGGCTTCTTTACATGTATATATATATATATATAAAGTTATTTATATATATATATATATATGAAAAACCTAAGTGATTAGTGATTAGATCAATATTTAATTGTTTCAATTCCCAACCAATTAAAACTCACAATCTAAATCATCAAGCACGTACGAAAGTAATTTAGATTGTTGTTTCAAAAAACAATGAATCGACACAAATGATTTTTTACATGGAAAAACCACAATTGAAGCACCTTCAATTGTGATAAAAAAAAACCATGGGTGAAATGCCACAAATCAGTCAACTACTGAAGAAAGAAAGATTACAAAGATACCAAACAAATTACCAGATCCGCTTCCAATTTGTCTCCAAATCTTCTATATGTCTTTCACCGCAACCTTCACACGGAATCGATTAGCTTGATGTAATCCACAACATCAATTGTCAAATAAACAAACTACACACAACATCAAACTCCTTTGATCACTCTGTGCTTGAATCTTCGGATTCCACTGAAGAAGAATACTCTCAAAGAAAAATCAACCAAACTCCTTGATGTGTGCTTATAAGAACATGAGTTCAAACTCAATCAAACATCAAGGAAAACCAAGAAAAATATTCCCGAAAAAAACCCTAAGACCCTTAAAGAAGATCTAGGAATAGTAACCCTAGAGTTGGAGCAACAAGTGAATTTATAAAGGTAGAGATCGCGTGGTTCGCTCGAGCATGGGAATGGACGCTAGAGCGAGAACTCTATATCGCGTGTTCTAAACCAGAGTTCACGCTCGAGCGTAAAAACACATCACTCAGTATTTTTGCAGACACGCAAAATATTGTGAGAGTGTAAACTCCGCTCGAGCGTCACTTTGCCCGCTCGAACGGGAAGACTAAAAACTGGAAAATTACAACTCGATTTCAACCTCAATTTTTCCATGGAATTTGACAACAAGGGTCCTAACAATCTCCCCCTTTGTCAAATCCCAGACAAAACTGTTCTAAACAATTTTCCTAACAAACACCCCAAAACACAAACTACCTAAAATAATCAACAGCCTCAAAAACAAAAAACAAAAGCACTATAAGAACTGAATGCGATGACCACGAACCATGCAATTCTTGAACAATCCACTTAAAGAGACAACCACACAAGCCAAAACTGTGGAACTGGATAAATAGCCAAATATATAGATATCTAAAACAAAAGCAACCCAATATCCAAAAACCAAGCATAATCTAGAAATAATAAGGCATGCAACAATATTTCTAACATTAACAAAGTATCTCAATAAGGCATGCATCAAGTATAAACATCCAAAATCCAAAAAATATTCCTAACATAAAAAAAAAAAAAATATTCCTAACAAAATATTCCTAACAATGCATCCACTCCCCCTTTTTGTCTGGGAGAGAAAAAACCAATATAGAAATCAGTGCAACAAGAGATATATATGTGCAAGAATAATACTAGCCAAAAATATATCTGTGCAACAAAGATCACTGAGCTGGTGACTGTGGAGGTGACTGCATCTGGAGAAGAGACAAGATCTGAGACAAATGAGCAGAAGACTATGCAACGGACTCCTCAATGCGCCTGGATGATGCCTCCAACGTGGTGAGCCGAGCATCAGCAGTAGTCTCTAGATTCGTGAGCCTAGCCTCGAAAATATCCATCTGGCCCTCAAGATGATTAAAATGAGAAACAACAGATCACTCGAAATGGTGGAGCTGGCTGCGGATAGTACGAACTAGAGGTGGCTGCTCCCCTGCACCAACAGCATCACCGGCAACAGCCGTATCAAACTCAGCCTCCTCTGCCATAGCAGCATCACTTGTACCTGTACCTGAATTACCCACCCCAGCAGGAACCCCCTTAACATGAGATTGACTCTGTGAGACAATCTTTTTGATGAAAGACTAGGAAAGAGAAACGAATTCATCCTCGTCAAACGAAGGAACCTCAAACTTGGCGAGAAATTGGTTAATGAGACACCCGTAAGGTAGACCAAGGTTGTCACGCTCAAATGCTGCAACCATTTTTTGAATGATCAACGTGGCAAGGTCAATGGAGCGATGGTAAGCAATACAATGAAGGACAAAACCTTGTTCTTGGTTTATTTCTGAGCTATGGGTGGTCATTATAATGTTGGCACACACAATGAGATTAAGTAACCGAAATTGGAGAAAGAGCTCATTTTGCTTGATCAACGAGCCTGGGAGCCATGGATGAGATATACCACATAAAACAGTGGCCACCTCATTAAAATCACAAGTGGGTCTCACAGGAAAAGAATAGAAAATAGGGAAAACTTTACTAATCCCTAAAAGCTCACGAATGAGATCAGTGGTGACTGTTATAGATTTGTACCAGACTCAAGTCTTGAATGAATGACCAATGTCATCAAGATTTTCCATACACTACTAGAAAATTGACCTTTTGCGTCGATTTTTTTGCGACTGTCTGATTAGCCGTGGCAAAAAAAAAGAAAAAGCAAAAAGGTTCCTATTTTCTTTCGTTTATTTGCGCCCTTTTCTTAATTTTGCCCTAGCAAGCTCACTCAACTCTCTCTCTCTCGTTCTTGCTTTTTGTCTCATTCTTGCTCTCGCTCACCTGCCAATCGTTGTCTGAAGAACTCCACCAGTATGAATCTCTCCCTCGATCTCTCAATCTCTCTATTTCTGTCTCGATCTCTCTTTCTCTCTTGATCTCTCAATCTCTTTTTCGCACAATCTCGTTCTCTCTCTATATTTGTGTACACCTCTCGCCGTAATTTGCTCTTTCATCGCAGAGAAACCCTAACTCTGCTAGTAGACCACACTGAAAAGGTCTCTTGGAGTTCTCAAATACAGTAGAATAAGCTCACCCATCATGCATTTCATCTATCTCAAAATTCACTTACATTACACACACATAGGGACTATCTTTGAGCTTCATTGTGTACAAATCAGTTACCAACTCTCTTCAAATTTCCTCTGTTTTTTTATTCAGTTTGTTTCGATTTGTTTCATATTTGTACTTGATTTGGTTTTGTATCTGAGAATTCCTTTGTTTTTATTTTTTGCACTATAATAATACATTTTTTTGTTGATTTGTTTGTTCTCATTTGAGTTTGAAACTGCGTTTGATCTGGTTTTTTAGATCAGAGTTCTTTGGTTTCTTGTGATTAATTTAGTTATCTTTAGATTCAATATTTGCTCGTCAAATTGATATGGATCACAATCTATCTTATGATTGTAGTTCTTTGTAATTTTATCTAGCATTAGTCAAATGAAGTTTGAATGATAGGTACTCTTTGAACTACTTGGATTGATCAAATTACTCCACCTTAGATTCAGCAGAGTAAGATTTATCCTCTTTTTTGTAAGTACTTCACCTTTTCATATTTCTTTCATTTTGGTATTAGTTGTTGCTAATAATAATAAATTACTTCAAACTTTTAGCAACTACTTCTGCATCTTTGAGAATCTGATAGTGCTCTAGGACTTTTCTCAAACTGCATGATAGGACTTTTCTCAATTGAATGCAACAACACTAAGGCCTAAAAAACATCAAACATATCATATTTTTTCTCTTAAAAAATTTACCCATAAAAAACGAGTAAAATCATCAACAGTTAAAAAAATGTATCTTTTACCTCCAATGCTTTCAGTGCGAGTAGGTCACATTAGATCCATATGAACCAATTCAAGAGGACGTTTGGTTATAAAGCTGTTCACCTTTTCATAAGAGGTACGAGTTTGCTTTCCAAGTTGACATGGTCCACACACATGGTTCAGATTCTTACCCAGTTTAGGTACGTCTCTCACAAGCTGTTTGTTGGCTATCTTAGTTAGGTCTTTGAAATTCATGTGACCTAATCTTTGATGCTACAGATCAATGTTACTTATGATGGTTGAGTGGCAAGTCAAGTCATTAGTTGTAACAATTTCGTAGCAGTTATTAGATGTGCGAACCCCATGCATGACAGCATTTCCCTTTTTATTCAAAATTTCACATTTAGTTTTTTGAAAACAATACTTCATGATAAGAATCACACATTTAACTTATGCTCAAAAGATTTGCTTTAAGGCCATTAACAAGTAATGCATTTTTAAGGTTGGGAAGACCAGCCACACTTATAGAGCCCTTACCAATGACTCTAGAAGTGCCACCATCTCTAAAGGTAACAATTCCACCTTTAGATTTTTCAAGAGAGGTGAAGTAGGATTTGTCACTTGACATGTGACGAGAGCACCCACTATCAAGGTACCACATGTGTGAGTCACGTGCTTTTAGAGCAGTGTGAAAAACTAAACAAGTCAAATCATCTTTTCTCACCCATATCTTTTTTGTCTTAACAAAATCAGGATTGGTGGTCTTGGTAAATGTCTTAGCGTTGTGAACACCCTCATGTATCTTGGTGTTCCGCCTAGACATGTAAGGTTGTCTCCTAACTCAAAAAGTATTAGAATTTCTACCATTTTGAGACACTTTACCAAACAATTCAAAGCAATAAGGACGAATGTGGCTATACCTACCACAATGATGACAAACAAAAACAGGTTTTACCTCCCTTTTGTTGATCTTACCCCCATTCGGCAAACGAAGAGGGGGATTACCCTGGTGAACCTTTAGTTTTCCTTTTTCTTGAGTTTTCAGGTCATGAGATGTAGAGGCCTGTCCCTTGTGAGTTGTCGTATTACCATAGCCTAGCCCATTTTTGTCACAACCCATTTGTTGAGACCCGAGGATGTCTTCTAATGACTTGGAACCTTTGTTCCATATGGCAATTGTGGCTCTAGCAATTCTGAGTTCTTCATATTTATGACAAACCATATTTTTCAATGTAGCTTGTGATATCTCAAGACTTTCAATCATCTCTTCATATATGGCATATATTTTTCAGAAGTTCATTCTTTTCGGTCTCACAAGATAGAAGTTTCCCACAAAGGGCTTGCCTGTCATTAGAGATCTTGATGACATTTTGTTTTGCTCTTCATCTTTATGACAAACCATCTTTTTCAATGTAGCTTGTGATATCTCAAGACTTTCAATCATCTCTTCATATATGGCATATATTTTTCAGAAGTTCATTCTTTTCGGTCTCACAAGATAGAAGTTTCCCACAAAGGGCTTGCCTGTCATTAGAGATCTTGATGACATTTTGTTTTGCTGTTGCAATTTCTCCTTTTAGTTTGACATTCTCACTCTCACATGCTTTGAGCTTGAGAGTGAGTTTGTCATTGATCTTGGACAAATTCAGAGATTTATCGTAAAACTTTTCGTAAGCTTGTTGTGGATCATTACCATCAATCTCATCATTGTCTTCTGATGTCTTATCATCTTATTTTTGTTCCTCTTTTTCCTAGACCTCATCCAATCGAGCCACTAAGGCAGGTGTCACGACCCAAACCCACCCCTATAGGTTTAGCATCGTAACCGGCCAGTAATCCTTAGATTACCAAAGGCCTCTGAATAGATAAACAAAAATAAGGAGCTAGCGGAAGCAAATACATAAATATCGTTATCCAATGAGCTGTGCTGATTTATGTGAAACAAAAGATTTATGACTTTATATACATAACCAAAAGTCATTCTTTCATTATAGTATCTTAAGTACAGCCAATAAAAACAAAGAAAGTCTTATATACATAAACGACCCGAACTCATAATACATGACACTTCAGGAACCTCCACGTGAGGCACGGTGGCTGGCTGACAACAGAACACAGATCCAGACAAAAGCCTTCAGGCTCAATCTCCAGAATGCCCACCTATACATATATATACACACAGTGAGGTAAAACCCAATGAATAACATTAAGGTAAATGGGTTAGTGAACGAATTCCGAACATTTCATAATCATAAGACAAATCATAACATAATCATTCTCATATCTGAACATACTAATGGTACATCCCATAGAACACATCATGCATCGTCTTCCGACTAAAGTAATTGGTTTCGAATATCGATTAAACACATATCACCACAGTGAAGTGGCTAACGAGATCTCGTAATCACATATATGTTGTACGAGCACGAAATAATTCTTCTCGTATGATTCCGTTGATCAAGTTTGCACTCCTCCAAACAACATTGCTTTGCCACTTGAAAACACAAACGTGAGCTAACCAGTGGGTGTGTGCCGGAAGCCCCTCCGATGCCTAAGTCAATAACTAGACAATAGACAATAAGCTCTGTGTATTCTAGAGTAAGAATTGTGATTGTGATACTTGTCCATAGGTCCTGCTATGAGCTTTTATAGACTTGGCCTGGCCCAATCCTAGTAGGATTCCAACTCTCCTTATAAGAGTGCTCATAGGAATCACACACCCTACTCACTACCAACTAAGTGAGATGGTTTGCACAATCCTAGTAGGACTCTACTCTCCTTAGCAGAGTCCTCCTAGGAGTTACACTCCTACTCACTACCAACCAAGTGAGATAGTTTTGCACAATCCTAGTAGGACTCTACTTTCCTTAGCAGAGTCCTCCTAGGAGTTTCATCACTGCAAGCCAAGTGAGATGACTACCACGGTTGAATAACAGTATAACCGAGCTAATACTAGCCCTTTGTCATACTGAATCTGGTGCCTTCATATGCAACACCTAGCTCGGTCCTTGTTCACTTGTAC